TATGTATATGCATGTAAGTAAGTATGTATGTATGTATGTATGTATGTATGTATGTATGTATTACCCATGTACGTCTATGTAGATGCATGTATGTATGTATGTATGTATGTATGTATGTACGTCTATGTATATGCATGTATGTATGTATGTATGTATGTATGTATGTATGTATGTATGTATGTATGTATTACCCATGTACGTCTATGTATATGCATGTAAGTAAGTATGTATGTATGTATGTATGTATTACCCATGTACGTCTATCTATATGCATGTAAGTATGTATGTATGTATGTATGTAAGCATTTATGTATGAAGGGGTAGATTCATTTCCATAACACTCACGCGCGCACGCGGCGGGAGGGAGGGGCTGCCCGTAGGGTTAAGAAACGTGAGAATTGATGATGATGATCGCGGCAGACGGAAAGCCTGAGACGGGGAGTGAGTGCGCCGTCTTGTGAGAAGGGCACCGCGACTTTACCGAGGAAGGGGAAGGGTGGGGTGGGGGGGTGAAAGGGGAGAAGGGAAGGGTGGGTGGGGGGTAAGGGGGGAAAGGGGTGAAAAGGAGAGGGGGGTGGGTAAAGGGGAAGGGTGAGGAGGAGAGGGTGAAGGGAAGAGGTGGAAAGGAATGGGTAAGGGGGAAAGGGTGGGGAGGGTGGGGGTGAGGAGGAGAGGGGAGGGTAAGGGGGAAAGGGTGGAGGAGACGGTGAAGGGAAGGGGGAAAAGGTGGAAAAGGGGGAAGGGAAGGGGAAAGAGTAGAGGAAGGGGAGTGAATGGAGGATGGAAGGAGGGAAGGTGAGGTAAGGGAAGGGGAGGGGGAGAGGGAGAGGGTTAGGGAAATGGAGGGGAGGAAAGGATGGAGGATATAAGAAGGGTGAGGAAGGGGAGGGGTGGGAATGGTGGAGAGAGGATAGGGCAAAAAGGAAGGGTAGAGCATAAGTAAAGGGAAAGGGGAGGGGAGAAGAGGGAATAGAAAGACAGAGAGAGGGGGAGAAAAAGAGGAGGGAAGGAGGGTAAAACTACTGTAATAGGGGTTAGGAGGAAGTTAAAGGAAGGGAGGTTGTGGGGATGGCAGGAGGACCAAGAAGGAAGTTGTGGGGATGGCAGGAGGACCAGGGGAGAAGGGGGAGGGGGGGGGGTGGAGAGGAAGGAGGGGGAGGGGGGAAAACGGCCTTGTTTGTACACATCACTCTCCTTGCCTGACCTTCGTAAACTTTTCGGCTCTCGAAATTATCCCTTTCTAGATTTAGAACCTCGCTGTTTGGGCGTAAGAAAATAATAAAGCGAAAAAGAATGTAAAAAAAAAAAAAAATTGTTTGGCATGACGTCACTTCCCCTCCCCCTCCCTCCCTCCTCCTCCCTCCCTTCCTTCCCTCCCTCCCTCCCTCCTCCCTCCCCCCTCCCCTCCCTCCTTCCCTCCCTCCCTCCCTCCCTCCCTCCCTCCCTCCCTCCTCCCTCCCTCCCTCCCTCCTCCCTCCCTCCCCTCCCTCCTCCTCCCTCCTCCCTCCCTCCCGTCCCTCCCTCCTTCCCTCCCTCCCCCTCCCCCCCTTGCATCGTAAACGGCCGGACGCATTTTGAAAACAGACGGGAAATTGGGGCCGTAGAAGGACGTATTTCTCGCGGCTTCGGACCCCGCAAGGCCGCTCGTCTGGCTCGCACTTTGCTCGGGGCGCCGTTGCTGCGTGTGTGTGTTGTGTGTGTGTGTGTGTGTGTGTGTGTGTGTGTGTGTGTGTGTGTGTGTGTGTGTGTGTGTGTGTGTGTGTGTGTGTGTTGTGTGTGTGGGTGTGTGTTCGTGGTGTTGTGTGTGTGGGGGGGGTATATATGCTACGTATGGTGTGTATGTATGTGTATATATATATATATATATATATATATATATATATATATATATATATATATATATATATATATAATATATATTATATGTGTGTGTGTGGTGTGTGTGTGTGTGTTGTGTGTGTGTGTGTGTGTGTGTGTTATATATATAATTTTTTTTTTTTTTTTTTTTTTTTTTTTAATTCTCGTCATCGTCCTAGTCTCCTTCCTGCTCCTATTGGCTCTCATCTTTCCTCCTCCTCTCCTCCTCCTGCTCCTCCCTCTCTTCACTTCCCCAATCTCCCTCCCATTCTTTTGTCTTCACCATCCACATCCTCCTCCCCCCTCCCCGCCCCTACTTCCTCCTCAACAACTTCCTGCTTCGTCGCACCTTTACCTTATCTCTTTATCTTTCTCGCTCTTTTTCCTCTTTATTTTTTATATCCGCCTCTCACTCATGAACCTCTCTCTCGTCTCTTCTATTTTCTCTTTTCTCGTTTTTTTTTATGTCTTTTTTAGTCTTTTTTTTCTTGTTTTTGTACGTGGCTCTTGTATCTCATGTCTTATTCCCTTTTTTTCTCTCTTTTTCCTTTTTGCCATTTTCTTCTACTGTTTTATCGTCTGTTTTTTTTTCGTTTTCTTCAGCTTCTTTTTCATCATCACCTTTTTATTAATTTCCGTCTTT